GAAACGTCAGATGACATTTGACAACAATCATTATTGCCAAAGGTCAAAATATAAATACTGACCTCCGTATGTGTAGTAGGGTCTTGGCTTTTTCTGTGTCTTCAAATTTTCGCGATTAATCTAAATAAACAATTCCTGATTTTATTGTATTGGAATTAATTCAATTCATGAAATTGATTTGAAAATTGTTTTTAAATATCTCCCAATAAGATCAGTATTAGTTCCATTTTAGAATGTTAACCTTTGTCTGGCTACTGCAATCACAACATTTGCTTCCTTTTTTCAGTAGTCTAAGACCACAACTAATGAATTTAATTGATTACATTGATTGTTCACTGAGCTCAGTTAAGTTAAAGACTGCTTGACTAGCTTTTATTGTTTATTTCGATGCGCCATACTGAATGTTGCTACTGTACTATTCGATAAGGTACTGATTTCATGATTTTGTAGATTTATTGCAGAAATGAAAGGACTAGAATTTCGTCAGCCAAAAAAGAGAACATTTATTTGAGGAATGAAAATTGGAATATAGATTCCAATGTCCATTGGGATGATTTCGTTTAATTATTTTAATCTATTTTTCCTATTTGTATGTAAATGGATTTTCAGCTTCATATTCAAGGCTTAAATAGTATGTAAATTATACCAGATTCTGTTGGTAGAGACATTGAAATCCAGCTATTTTCGAACATAAATAATTTTTCGTTTTTATTTAGTTACAATACTAATTAATTTAATTGTTATAGAAAAGAGAGAGCAATTATAACTGATTATTAAGATTATTTGAAACTCCCACTTACCTGATCAGCCTAGTTTATAAATAATTTATTAGAGCGCAGGAAATGTGTCATTTTAAGTTAAGTCATTACACACCCGAAAAATACAAGGCATTTTGCCATATTTTAGAAATAAATCAATGACAGCAATGGTGGGTATGTATGCTTTAAGCATTATAATTACTGGCTTATCTGGTTTGTTTAAGTCACCAAAAATTTAATAAAAATGCAGTAATCGTTTTGGCGATTTTCAAGTTTACTGCTTCATAATTATTAAAAACATAGTTTAGTCACAATAAATCACTATTTAAATGCAGTGCGAGTACGAGTATGCACTTAGTAAAGTTATTGAAAGTAAACCGATTTAATTAAGCTCTTTGAGTTGCACTAAAATGCAGCTCACCAAAAAACTGCCAACTTTTGAGTATTGCACCATTTTCTACCAGTCTCACTCTTCCTTATTCACAAAATGTAATCTTATTTTAAATAGCAGTTTTAGAGATTGTCTGTATCATACACTTGCTATTATCTTATTTGTACAATTTCGAAGCTGCCAACTCGCTAAACTTGTAAACGTTTTTTATATAATTTAATTTTTGGTAAAAGTAATAAATTTTAAAAATTTGTTTTTATTTCCAGTTTTCAATTTTTCACTTCCTGTCATTTTGGCTGATAGATTTTTGCAAATTTTGCAAATTGAAATCAAAACTTTCGCTTTATTGGTAATTGGTTATTAGTTAAATTAAAGTAATTACTATTCGTATGTTTAACAAATAGAACAATTTAATATTACAAAATATGCATGAGGTAAAAGTCTTACAATAATTAATAATTAATCTTTTTACTAAACAATCGAAAATCGAAGTGTCGATCGACCTCATCTACTTTTTAGTATTGAACTATTTTCTAGAATGAGCAAATACTCTAATGAAGTTTTCGACTGGTCCATCTTGGGTAATTTCTATAATCGAGATTCACTTTTAATGCAATTTTGATTTTCGATTCGTAAATCCGTATAACACTCGAGACGAATGTATAACACTCTAGATTAATTTATAACACTCTAGATTTTTTGCCAGAACAGCAAGATTACCCTGAAATTAACAGCTGTTTTATATTTAACACATATGTGATTTGTTTCCGCATGTGCTGTCTTTTTAAAAAAAGAAATAAAATCAAAATAATAGTCATTTGACTGCAAATGCATTGCCATCTGAAGACGAATCTTCAGATGAAGATGTTATAGATATCATTAGCAAAAATAAAAAAAAGTAGACTTCAAGATTTTATCATGATTACCAATCGAAAACTCCATAAAATTGGACACATAAGAAGCACATAATAGATGTTAAATATTTTACCCCGAAGCAAGGAATCAGGAATAAAATAATTTTCAAATTTTATTATACGATATATGAGAATTGTTAGCAAATCCAAGGAAGAGTATCATGTTAGGAGACCTGACTTTAAAAAAATCCAAATCACTATTCTTGCTAGATCAACCCAATTGAAACAAGTGATAATGTAATTTAAGTGGCCTGAGTACAACAGCAAGAACTAATGGAACAGTGATAAACTGGTCTTAAAAGCGACTCAATGTAGAAAAAGAAGTGGACGGTGCTATTATTGTCTTGTTAGTTTTTACGCGGGTGTTTTACATTAAGACTGAAAAGTTTTCGGAAATTCTCATTTAAAATTCGCGCGCTGTATATTTTTCGATATTTTAAGTTTATGTAGTTTGGCAGCACTGTCTTTAATTACTATGCCAAAAATGAGCGCGATCTGTCAGACAGTTCGTTTACGGCAGCTGTTGAAACCAGTTCACCCTCAGTAGTGCGTTGCGAAATGTCTTCCGACGGTCGTACGACCGTCCTGAAAGGCTTTGTACCACTCATAAACTTGAGTTTTCGATAAAACTGATTCCCCATAAGCCTTTTGTAGCATTCGCAACGATTCTGCACACGAAATTTCGTTCGAAACACAAAATTTGATGCAAACTCTTTGTTCAATATTTTTTTCCATTGTTTTTTTCGCAACGCACTACTGAGGTGAACTGGTTTCAACAGCTGCCGTAAACTAACTGTCTGACAGATCGCTCTCATTTTTGGCATAGTAATTGTCCTTAATTGCTGCCAAACTACATAAACTTAAAATATCGAAAAATATACAGCGCGCGAATTTTAAATGAGAATTTCCGAAAACTTTTCGGTCTTAATGTATACTACAACTACTGGACACTTTTTGCACAGCATATATTTAGGAAGCAATGGATTATTAAACACATATTAATTTATATTATTTCATAAAATGGTAATTTCTATTGCATTAGTTTTAAAGTTGATTTTTTAATAACGAAATTATCTCAATAGAACTTGAGTCATTAAGCAACGAACATATTATATATTGTTAATAAGAAGAATAATCAATGTGTAAGATATACATTTTAAGAAATGATAATAACAGTTCATCACAGTAAAGAGTAAATTAAAAGTAAATTTTCTGTGAATAAATTGAACTAACAATGTTGGGTTGTATAAGTAAGCTGTCGACTTGTCCCATAATCTTCAGTGAATCGAATTTGAGCTTGAGTCAAGAGATCTGTTGCGATATAATTCAATAAAAGATTTGATGAAGACACAATTAAACTTAGATTTAGGCAAATTTCAAGGTAATTAGTTAACGGTGAAAATACAATAAATGGTATGAAAGATAATAAATTTAAGCTAATTGCACATAGCTTGCTAAACTGACTGGCAACTTGTCATAAGCAGATGATGATATATTCACTAAGTTATATTAGTGATAATAGTCACCATTAGTGACGATTGGTCAGCAAAAGGCAGAAAGGAGATATAATTTAAAGAAATAACATAAAATTGAACAAACAAGCTACCAACGTCTCATATATATATCTCAAGGCATTCAGTAAATCTAATTAGAGCTGAAACTAGAAGATAATTCGGAGCTTAAATTAAGTGAAATACTGGTATTGGAAATAATTTATTTGAACTGGATAATAACTTGTACTGTATAGATTATAGGATCTTCAGTAAATTTAATTAAAGAAATTTGAAAAGTTGAAATTTGTTAAACTTTCATTCGATAAATTCTCTGCAGATTCACAAGATTTGCAGTGAATTCAGCGGCGATATTATAAGAGCTTACGTAGTTTAATTCAATAAAAGGTATTAATATATGCATACTATGCTAGCCGGATTCCAAATATAATAAAATTATCAGTAAATTATACCTACATACCATAAATGTCAGACATTATTACAAAAAAAAGTGAATTTCAGAAATATTGCTCTTTTCCTATCTTATATTAAAATTTTTAACATATGGTAAGTTGTAATTTATTGACGGAAGTGACTATTATATTTCATAGAAACTAGCATAGTTGGTATACAGGTTTCGAAAAGTAGTGTATTATTAGTCAAAAATTCAATGGATTAAAATAATATAAAAAGAATTTTTGTTGTTGTAGTTAACCACTTTTACAAACCTCTCCATATAAATTTTTAAATTTCATAGTTTACTTATAAGACAAGTGATATATATCTACACTGAAGACCACGCATATATAGACCACGCATATATGGTTAACTTTTATTTAATAAGATTAAGAAAATTAATATTAAATTGTCTAACAGAGTAATACACATACTAGTATGTTAAACTGTGACTGAAATAAGTACTAAGCACTGATAAATAGTAGCCATAAGTTAATTATACAATATGAGTATAAACATTATATTTATATAAAATAAACAATCACTTTTGTGTGTTATTATGTATTTAACATTATTTGTGGTTTTATAGTTTTGAACACATTAGAACGGTTAAATCGGCTAAGTATTATTAAGCACAACCCACTGCAGGAACTTATTTACTACTCAAGGCAAACAGGATATTTACGTAAAATAATGTTGGTTTAATGAAATCAATTATTATTAAAAAGTTAATAAATTCATTGAAAAATAAGACAATTCTTTGAATTAATTGTGAATAAAAACTGCAGTCTGTACCGCTTAAATTCTTCAAATGAATTTAATTAAAAGATTAAAAATTTTTTCAAATACTGTTCTGTTTACCTTTAAACGGTATTTAAAATTAAACAATAAAAACAGTAATAAAATAAATTAAAAAATTCAATAAAACTCGGTTACTTTTTACGATATTTTGCCCACATAAGAATTTTTAATTGATTATTTCAGTACTCACTTGAGTTAGATTAGAAATTTCGTGTCTTAGAAATTAGTGTTGAGATATGTTGTTGTAATTGTGGCCGCCGTTTATAATTTATGGTTAGCCGGTTTAAGAACCCGATAAACAAGAATCCGCTCTGAAGGTAGTCCACTTCTTATTTTAATGGCTTTCGAGTAATTGTCACTTTAGCAGCAACTTTGGAATTTGATTCTGTTAACTCGTTTACACTGAAAAAAGTATAAAAAAAAATACAAAAGATTGAAATATATTTGGAAATAAGCTCGTGCTAAAATTTGCTTAGATTGGATTTGTTGGGTACAACTCAGTACAGAATTAATGGCACGCGGTGGAGTTGTAGACGGGAAAGTCGTCCAGCAATGACAGATTTTGCAGCAATTAGTAAGAGAAGATTAAAATTTGTTGAATACAAATTATTAATAAATTTCAATTAAAAATATATAATTGAATTTAATTTATAAAACAAATAAATGTTATTAGAATATTTGTATTGGGTAATGCGATAATTTGCAACTTAAGTTAGTTTTCAGTAAACATATTTACGTAATCTTTTCATTATCTACCATTGCTGAATATTGTTATTTAACGAGTAACTTTTACTATTTTTTGCTTGGAATAAATTGATTTTTTTACATTACCTATCTTACAAATATCGAAATAGGTTAGGTTATGTGGAGACAACTTGTAGCAAATTGTCTTTTAGTATATTATATGAGCCCAGTATTCTCGTTTTAGGTTGCTAAATCATTTGTTAAGTTTTTTGTTGATTTCTTTAGACCACATATGTCTAAACTTATAGATTTAGATAAGAAATATCTAAGTATTAAGTAGTAACGAGTCTGAACTGACAACATATCTGCCAAGTAGACAATAATAGTATGTTCCCATTGCCTTAATTAAAGCACTTTATTAGATTTAGGTGAGTAATTAAGTTGATTAGCAGTACAAAGAGCATTCGTGCTTTCCAACTTAGTTAATAATTTATTAAGGGAAATTAAATCAAAAATGTAGAATGCAATACTGCAAAATATATTTTCCAAAAAGGAAATTTGATGTTTGACACGAAACAATTAATAATAATGACATCAAAAATGTAGAATGAAACATTGGAAAATATATTTTCCAAAAGGGAAATTTGACATTTGACACAAGTCAAGTTTTTTATAAATAAAATATATAATTAATTTATAAAAGTATATAAATGAGTTTATATATCATATATATATTTAATATTATTATACAATATCATATATTATTTACTAAAAATATTCATATTAGTTGAATAACAACTGAAAAGCAAACAAATAAAAGTTCTCCTAGAACCTTCACAAACATTTCTGACATATAAAAACTCTTTCACATGCGTAATTCAATTTCAGTCAATAGAAACGACCAAATCTAAATTTAATAAATATAAGTTAATTTCGTTGCAGTGAGAACATGATATAATTAGTAAAGATTTCAATTAATATTTTTCTACTGATTCTTTCAAGTTGATGTCAGTATTCTCTTAATCGTAATTTAGTAATAACATATATATATGTATAAATTGGTGTTATTCAATTTTTCATTAATTATTTGTTGCATGTACGTATGTTACGATTGCTTACGAAGAATCGGTTTACTCAATGGCCAAATAGATTTGATTATAGGTAGGTTTTAGTGTTTTAACACAAATTAGGTAGATGCTATAGTACCAAATCATTTCGTTAATAAGATATTCAGTTAAATCAAATTCTTGATTTAATTGGATAGATATATCAACTGGATATATATCAACTAGATAGATATGCATTATAACAAAAATGCATAGAAATGCATGCATATCGCTATAACTAATGGTAGAAGTCCTTAAGACAATATAGTTGAATATTTCATAGTAAATTTTAAGTTCAAAATGTATAAAATTTTACAATTTTAACACGTTCAACTATTGTTAATGGATCTATATTCCAAACTTTATACTAAATATATGATGCCTTGAATGATACTTCTGTTTGATATATTGTTTGTCACTGAAATCAGGAAATAAATACCCTTTATATATTTTAGATTTTATATATAACCAAAATATTTAAAATATTCCACTTACTCTAATCTATTTTTTTAAAATGTAGGGTTAATTAATATATTTTGGGTTTTATATAAGAGAAATACGTAAAAATATTCAAGTTGCTCTATCTTCTTATATCTGCATAATGATCTACTTTTTTATATAAACAACTTAAGCATTATTACGTGGGTGCAAGTCTTAACATAATAAGTTTAACTGTTGCAACTTACATAATAAAAATTAAGTAATACATACATAAGTAATATATATGTGCGTATGCAATGAAAACCTCACACATTAGATAAGGTAAAAATTTATTCGTTTTTTATTGTTATTAAAATTACAGTAGCTTAAATTAAATTAATTTGAATAATTTTCATAGTATTACAGCTTTAATAGGAAATCTTAAACGCATTTAAAATTAACTTGATTTACTTATTTGATTGTAGTAAAAGCATATATAATGCAAGTAGTAAAAGCTTATTGGAATGCAAGTATGTATATTCAAATGATGAGTATTTGCTGGAGCATTAAAGACGAGCAGCTTAGTACTATTATCACAAATATTGTTTTTAAATAGTTTATTGAGTGTCTTAAGAGTAGTATTCCGAAATATAATTTTAAACTAAATAATGAACTCTTAAACTGATCAGATATTAGGAAAACATATTACTAAAATCCAACGTGAACACCATACGTTGAAACGATTTATACGAATTGCATTATGGAAATTACTACTACTTTAGGAGGTCAACATCTTATACATAGATTACAGTTATGTAGAATATTAAAATTAGGGTTATATATTCAACCCAAAACAGTAATGAAGTGGGTTTCTTGATTCACTTCATTGGCCTTAAAACGGCTAATTTAACATTGCTTTTTAGCTAAAAAAAGCTAATAGCACAGACTTTTGCCTAACTATATGAAAAGATATTAAGTAATTAATATTTAAAAACAAGTTTAATATTTCCATTAAATTTTTAATATTTACGTATTTTTGGAAAAAAATCAAAACAATATTTGAATTAATAAAATAAGAAATAAACTATAATTTTTGTTTTAAATTAGCAAAACAAAAAGGTGGTTTTATTTATATATTTTTTTATATTATTTAATGTAATATTAAATATAAAAACGATCTGGAAGCTGTCAAAAGCAGAAATATATTTAAGTAATCAAGATTTTTTATAAGTTTTATATATTTTTTTATATTTATATTTTATATTTATTACATATTTTTATATTTATATATATGTATATATTCATTTCATTCTTAGGTGTTAAATGATTTTCCACTCAGTATTGTAGGGAGTAATTACAAACTTCTTCGCATTATTTATCACAATTTATTACTGACTTGTTCAACTTCTTTGTATCTGCTTGCAGCTATATTTGCTGCTTACAAAATAGCAAATACACATACACTCTCTTAAATCTATTTACAATCCCTTAAGTCTAGTATCTCTTAAATCTAATTACAATAATACTTATATAAATCTAATTACAATAATACTTATATTACTACAGTATGATTGTTGGCTAGTAGCTTGAACTCTTAGCAACGTTTCCGCATGTGTGATATTTTCATATCAATGCCTTCTCCAAGTGTATCCAGGTCTGCCCCTTTTTTTGCTTTTTTTGATATATAATATATATATTCATATATATATATATAATATATATATATTATATATATATCAAAAATATATACATATATATATAATATATATATATTATATATATATCAAATATATATAAATATATATATTGTATATATATTATGTACGACACCATAAGACACCATAATAGACATAATGCATTTTCGCACGTGAGCTTACGAAATGTATATCTGAACTTTCAAAACGGATTCAATAAAAAAATTAGAATTGTAAAATTTGAATTAATTGAAATGATATTAGTAACAATATCCAAACAAATAGGTAAAAATTATGTAAAAACTTTAGAGAAAAATTAATATGACAATAGTTCATACCACATCTTACTTATTTCATACCATATCCTATCAACCATGTCAACATCCATCTAACTATATAAAATAATTAAAAATTTTATTTTTCGTTTTATAGTTTTTGTTTATTTCTGAAATATTATATGTATAAACAAAATATTTATTGTAATCAATTTTTACGTTTACTAAAAGTTGATTCCTTAAATATAAGTACTTTAATACTCTTTTGAGGTGATGCTAAAATCAAAATAATTTGACAAAAAATATTTAAAATTTATATTTTCTAAAATACAATTAATTAAAAATTAATGGTTATATAATTAAAAAAACTAAAACGAAATAGAACTATAAAATCTTTACTTTATCATATATCCAAATGCTAAAAATTGCAACAACTTTAAACTCAGTAGTAAATTCTGTGTGTATCTTTTTGCCTTCATTTTTGTATCTATTTAGTAGCTCCTGGTATTTCAATGAACGAATCTTAAATAAATTTTATTATTGGCAAAAAAGAAATATATTTGCCCATAAATTACTTAATGTCATCTGCATAAACTACATTTAAAATAGTATATGCAGAAGTCAAAGACATAAATTAAAATAAATCTTTTAATTCACATATGGCAAAAGCAATTAAACCATAAATGATACTTCATTTTTAACTTTTATTGCTTGAAAGCTTGAATATCGAAACAGATATCTAGATATTATAAAATACTTATATCAATAGTTAAAACTATGTGTAAAATATATGAGCAAATCTAATTTTTTTGAAACCTTTAGGCACTCTATTTCAAAATATTTTGTTGAACCAACTTATGTATTCCAATGAAATCATTAGCTTTTAATTAAAAAATATTGAGTTCACAGACTGTTAACAAAACATCGATACAATCTAATAAAAAAAACATACCAAAAGTAGTTTTATGTTTTTCATTTGAAAATCAACATTTGATTGACATTTTATACAAAGATGCTTTAAAGTTTTAAGTTCACAATGTCGGCGCACTTTCCTGAAACTTTAGATACAAACAAAGATTGAAATAAAAAGTGAATATAAAATGCTTTTAAACCAGTTGCATATGAAAGTAAAAGTAAAGGCGTCTGTAAACAAATAAAGTCAATACAAAATGAGTCAATGTACGTATGCTCTTTCTTGTC